GGGGGGGGGGGGGGTCGGCACCCCTTGTGGGGCCGATAAAATATTTAATTCAATATGTAAGAAAGAGAAATAAATGGAGAGAGATTTTGGTAGGTTTTTATTTTTTATTTTTTTTGGGGGGCGGGGATTGATTTAAGAAAGAGATCAAAATCAAATTCAAATTGGGGATGGTTTATGAGGGAATTTGGGGAGCCTATTTAGGGCAAGTTATATTGTATTTTAAGTTTATGCAATTTGTTTTATACTGTAGCTTTTCTTTGAGAGTTTCATAGCGGTGTCTAGGGTTTGCGGGAGAGCCAATCTACCTCTCGAATACTAGATAAATTGCATCTTTTGTTATTTGCTGAAAGAGTAATAAAAAATCAGCCCTCATATTTGTATTCCTGCAATTTCTTCCTTTCTATTTGTTGTTTATGCTTCTAATACTTATCATGTTTATATAAATAGATAAAGGCACACGTGAGATTACGAATGCGGTTGAGACGCATTTCTTTAGCTTACTACTATCAATTTTTCAAACTACCAAGAATAGTCATTATATGGAAAAAATTGTTACATCTGTAGGAAAATACTAAAAATACTACAAAGTTGGCTCTAAAATGACACTGAACAAGCAAAGAGAGGAAGTACTACATATTAAGGTATATGGTCAATGATTCTGAAATTAAAACTCTTGTAAGGATAACCACCAAACTTGTTATAGATACAATTGAGGAAAAACTTTATATGGAAGAAGGACATCAGCATAAAAGGTAAGAGAAATGATATTTAACTGAAAAATCCCGGCAGAAAAAAAAAACAACTGTTATAAAGTAAGAACAATAAAAACAAGAGTAATAGCGGTAAGCGCCAGTCTCAGAAACAAGAAGAACCAGTAATACCTAATTGAGGAGTAAAAGGCCATCATACCACACGAACCAACTAGGAGATCCAGTATAATTATGCAAGACCAAGGAAAGTCTTACAGAAGAGGAACTAAGGCATGTAAGTAATCTCAAAATAGATATATCTACCCGTAGCAAATTGTGGTCAGTTATCTATAGAGAGAATGTCCAACAAAAAAAAAACAGAAAGCATTGTTAGGGAAGATAACAGCGGCTAATAGAAAGTTAACATGTTACACTTATGAAGCATATAATGGCTTTGAATACAAATGATTGGTGGGAAGGTTCGGGCTGGATGAAATATTGGATACCCAAATGTTAACAAATTAGTAAACACAAAACAAGTTGGGTAGCATAATTGGACCAATCAAGAGTCATATTTTCCTACTTGCTACCAATCCATTCCAACTAGGCCATGTAGAACATTAAGAACCTAATATTTGCTAATTTGGTTATATTTAAATGTTTAAACTCTCACAGGAATTATGAAAATGAAAAAAAAAAAAATATGCAAACTAACATATGATGAAATGAAAAAATCAGGATCATTTAATACTACAGAATGATACAATACCAAGACAATTCCTAGTAACTATCGCTTAATTTCTGGAAAAGATTTATAGACATAATGTAACCTTGCCACATTTGAAAAGACTACGCCCTGAACTTCATCCATTCACTAGACTTTGAAAACTTTGCATTTGACGGACAAATGTTAAACATCATATAGCCTGCATTACACGCTAATTCACATTCATGCAACATTTTAAATTGAAAATCTGAAAACTGAAACAAAATGCCCTTTCTGATTTGTAGATCAAATATAAAATACTCCCTTTAAAGTAATAAGCAAAGAAACCTGCTTCAAGTATTTGTTTTAAAAAGAAGACAAGGTAATTAGATTTACAGAACTCCTAAAAATTACTGTTTCCCATTTCTATATCCAGAATTTCTACAATATGTACCCTGACAAGCTTGCAGGACGTCTCTGTTGCTTAGATAACAGTACACAAAATATAATCAATTGATGTTTGATGGAATCTCTATGCACCTAACAATCCTAGTATTTTCCAGAAGAAACAAGGAACAACTACATTAAATTTGTCTGCGTATATTGTATTGTGTTAATGGAATGACCCAGATCAATGAAATTAAATGAGAAAAGCAACTTACCGCTAGAAAGTAACTACTTCTACAAAAACATAATAAAGAAACAAATACAAGCGTTAGAATCATCACATTAAATTACAGAACTAAAAGAAATTGAAGCCATAAAATCAAACCTACCTATACGTCTGAATATTTTCATAAAGAATGAAAATACAGAAGAATTAATTCAGTTAATAGCTCCATGGAAGCTAACCAGGGAAATCCCAAGGTTCGAGGCTGAAAGGGTTCACATTGGTTATCACGTTAGCAGGAGTAGGATCCCCAGCCTTCCTTCCGCTCAAGAACAACATGACCTTTTCATCAATTGAGCCGTCATCGGCATCAAAAAGCGGAGGCGTAAAAGCTGAAGAGCACTTCTCACGGTCCAATCCAAAACCAGTAGCTGGCAACTCCTATGAATATTCCGCAATGACAAAAATTAACCAAAAATAGGAGCAATACGGAATCGATACAAACAAAAAGGCTTAACTAAAAGCAACCAGATTCCATCACCAAAAAAACAAAAAACTTCATCAACAATCCTACTTCTAACAACTCAATTAATCAAATAATAAGTAGCCAGCCAAAAATTTTCCAAGCCTTAAGCATATCCAAAGAAAACAAGTGTTCCAAACACAAAAGTAATTCAAATTTCCAAACACAGTTCACGCAAAAATCTCACGATATTAGAAGTATCAAACCAAAAAGGAATATCCAGAATCCACATTCACGGATAAGCAAAAATCACTTCTCCATCACTTCAATCCGGAAAATATCCATTAAAACGCGATTCAGACATTGGATTCCGAATCCCAGCTTTCAAATCACGAATCTATTCTCAATCGGACAAACACACACACACACACAATCAATCCCAGATACGAATCATAAATGAAAGAACAATCAGATTGAAGAGCGCTTTCTCTCCCTCTCTCTAACCATCGTCGCAGCACAGAGGTCCTTCGGCGGCCGAGCCTCGAACTCCCCTCTCGCTCGATCTCTGGCCCCGCCCCTTTCTTCCTCAGCTCAACGAACAATAAAACGAAGGCCAGAGCGCCTATTTATAGAGTCGACCCTTCTAATTATTTTTTGGTCGTTTTCATTTAATTAAGTTGTGCAATACGGAATCTAACCGTCCACGTCAGACAGGTTGGGAAATTGACGGACTCGATGGCTTTCAAAGTGCCTCAGTGTTCTCCGATCACAGCGGATCAGTTTTGACTAACCCACGTTTACGAAACTGCCCTTCGCCCAGCGCGGTCCCACTTCTCTTTCGGGAGAAATTAGTAAATTACCACCAAAAATATTTGCGTTAGGATAAAGAGTTTATACCTACTTTGATATTTATGTAATATTAATTATTTATATATTATAT